GTTCTCAGGACACATACCATACCAACTAAAAGTCAATGGATTGTTAATGGATGGATAGAAATGGGAATTTCACAAGCTGATTCTGCTAGATGTTTCAATGTCTTTTGTAGTGTGGTCCACCTACTGTCAAATCGGTTTGAATTCGAGGATTCTGTATCTAGAAGACATGTTCCAGGAATACCTAGAATTACAACACCTGCAAGAGACCATTATTTAGCTTTTTTTCAGCCCAAAGGAGGAGTAACATTACTGTGCCTGAGCTCATGGCAGATCATTTAGTGGGAACAAGAATCTCAGCTACTACAGTGTGCCAGACGTCCACAAAATACAGGTCTGTATGCAAGATGACCAGATGTTTGTTTTCCCTTGACTCAAGGACACAAAAGTGCTGTTTATGTTGGGCAAGAGAACACATCTCCTGGACCAATCAACAATGGGCATCAGTGATGAGTCCAGGTTCACATTGAAAGTGATTTAGGTGGTCAGCTGATCTGGAGGAAACAACACACCAGATACAACCAATCTCATATTGTGGAAAGACACAGTTACAAGGCTGGTGGAATAATGGTTTGGGATCTCTCTCAGTGGTCACCCTGACCTGCATGTGTTTTGTGTTGGAACTTTGACTGGTGTGAGATAATTGAGACGAGATCCTTGATCAATATGTCCACCCATATGCCACTGCTATTGTTCTTGGATTTCTTCTGATAGATGACAAAGCTGCACCGAACTCGGGTGCTGATGAATAACTTGAGGGTCACGGTATGGAGCGAATAGAATGGCCAGCTTAATCCCCAGACCTGAATCTGATACAGCATCTTTGGGACAACCTTGGGAGATAGGTTGCTGCTTTAAGTCCTTCAAGGTTGTTAGATGAGCTTGAACATGTCTGGTTGTTGATTCCCATTTCACTGGCTTGACAGCTTAATTGATAGCATGGGACATCGCTGCTGCCAATGTATTGTAGTTAGGGGTGGACATATTCCTTATTAGAATCCATTTTCCCTCAAAAAACTGATATACTGTTTCTCCAAACTGATATACACTGAAAGTTGAATTCTCAGGTTAGGTTTGGTGTCAAAGTCTGTTGTGGTATTTATTTTTTTCTCAGTGTTCCATGTAGCTTGCAAATGGTAAAAATGCCAACACTTTATTTTTGACAAGTTATGATATGAACTAAAGCAGGGATAGAGTGACATCTTCTAGAGTGTATGAGAATCAGAGCTAGTTTTTAGTTCGGAATGTGAAAGAATGTGATTGTTGCGTTTGTCCTTGTATGTGTTTCAAAAAAGTGTTTCCATGTTTTTTAATAACTTTTGTCGTCTTGGACATTAAACAACCTGCATCATGTGCATGCAAACTTATGAATTAGGCTTTTTGTTCTGAACAAGAACATGGTACCCTCGGAGGAATAGATTTTTAGAATGTAGAATTATTTCCTGGAGATTTGAATGTGTTAAAAGAACAATGGAAAGAACTGAGAACTATTTTCAGTCTGAAGAAAACTGAAAATCAGATAGTTATAGAAATTTTAGATATAAATGAAGTTTCCATTCTCCTTATCAATAACTTGCAACTTATTGATAAGCTCTAAAGATTTTAAGTTTGTCAGTGATTACGATAAAAGTTTACTGAAGATTGTAGAAAACTGTACACCGATGATTTTGAAGAAGCTGAAACCTATTGAGACAGGTATTTAAAAATTTGCACTACACTGGAAAAGCAATTGCAAAAAACTTCTGCAGCTAGGAATGGGGGGGGGGAATTTGAGCTAAAAAAGTTTTCAGGTGACCCAAAGGATTACTTGTTCTACAGAATGTTTCAGAAGACATGTTTTTACCTGATGAAGATAAGATGAAAGTGTAATCTGTGAAATCAAAAGCTGAGCATCTTATTCAGTTTACCAGCAACAATATTACTCAAAGGCTGTTGAACAGTTAAAAGAATTGATGAAGAAATGATTTTGCTTGTCCAGATTTACATTTGTAATTTATTACACATGGTTATGAAGAATGCAGTTACTGCATGAACCAAGGCCAATTGGCAACTTTATGTAATGAACTAGAAGCTAAACTGAGAGCTTAGGAAGAACACAAGAAAAGTCTGGATATATGCTAATTCTATTAATAGAAAGCTGCCACCTGAAAAGAATTCTCCTTACATGGGGAAGGTCTCTCTTAACTCGTTTTGATTACTGTGTGTGCGCCGCTGAGGCTAATTGCTAACTTCTTTGTCTATTAATGGGACTTCTTATTGATCTCCTTACTTCAGCCCCATTGGCTTTTCATTTTCTTTAGCGAATGCTTTCTCTTAACCAACTCGAATTTTATTAATGATGATGTGGAAGTAATGACATTTAATTGCAAAAGTATTCTGTAACAAAAACGCCTTAGTCCTTGGGGAAAAAGGAGAAATTGCTGAGTTGGGCGATTCCAAGAGTTCCTGTATAGCTGTTTAGAATAGCTTATGAATTTTCTTCATCACGATGTTCAAAGTGAAGAAATGGTGTCATTAGCAAGAACTGAGTTTGGTTCTCACCTTAATTTTAAAAAGATTCAGTTCCTAAAAAACAAAGGAAGCTGAACTTGCCAAAACCTCTGTGTTGGTAAGCCTTGATAGTAATACAGGTAAGTGACTTAATTGTATTTCTTGTGATTAATTCCATCCTAGCAAAAGATGTTTTAAAGCAAGAAAAATTACTTGTATGTCATTTAAGCAGATTTTGTAAAGTTAAAAATAGATTGAACTGTTCTCTTTATAATAATTCTTATTCTGATAATGTGTATTAACAAGGAAAAAGGAATACATGTAAAACAGAATTTCCTCTCTAAACTGCCACAGAAATTAAACTGTTTACTTGCAAACTCTTTGTGTACTCATTTAGATTGAGGGTCAAGAGCAAAAGATTCGTTCTTTGTGCGATTTGGTTAGCTAGCTACATAAACAAACAATTATGACATTACTGGATGTTCCTACACTTAAAAATGAAATTTTAATACATACACTGTTTGTGGAAGGGTGAAAAAAATGAAGGAACACACAGTACTTTTTATAGAAATCAGTGATTTAACAAAATCATTTACTTGTACTTAAATTTCTTTCAGAGAAAAAGATATGTGGATTTATTCTGAATATTAATGACTGTATATTTTTAAAGGACTTAAAATGAAATAAGAGATTTAAGATTCTTTCTGTGAAGAAAGTAAGAGTGACCTTTTGATTAAAGCTGCTATTTTGGGAAAACTGCTGACTGAAATTTAGTTTAAGTTGAATTCAATTCAGATCTAACAGCCTTGGAAACTAAACTTGGGCGGATGGCATTTGAAAACTGAATTGCATGCTCAAATGATAACATTTTAAATGCTCTGGTTATTCGTGTGAAGCATATTTTGAGCGCATTACGAGAACTTGAAATTTAAGGAATTTTTTTTTTTTTTTTTTTGTCTCAACTGTTAAGAATAGCTGATTTTGAAGAAAAAAACAAAAATTCTTCCTGAAAATATAAACAGGGTTCGTGGCGGTCCTTATATTTGAAAATATATAAAGTCTCTTATAGGTGCTTACTTTTTCTTTAAAGCCCTTATTATTTTTTTTTTTTTAGTGATTTTTTTTTTTTTAATGAACGCGCTATTTTCCCGATACCAAATAAACAACTTTTCTTCCTAATATGGAATGTCAGATGGTGAATCGTACTCCCGGAAATAGCTTATCCCCTTTCTCTGCATTAACATAACCTTTGGTGTGCACGAAGAGTACAGACAGGTGCCTGTCATTCTATTGGTCAAAGAAATGCGAAAGCAGTAGAAAATTCCGGTACATTCGGCATTCTTTTTCTCCCACCCAAATACTACACACATTTAAATTTCTATCAAGATCCTAATAATTTGCATTTTCGTTCTGCTTGGTCAGTTCATATTCGTGTTTATTATGATCGTTATGCTTATATTATGAGCATATGTATGAATGTTTATAATAACATAGTTGCAGTAACTGCTGAAGTATAGTAAACTTTCAAAAATGGTTGTGTTTTAACACAGATTAGCTTTCTAAGGAATAATATTCGGAATGGCTTAAATAAAGGGAAAGTAATCGAATGGTCAAAATAATTTTGTTTTTTTGGCCAATACATTATACAGTATGAAGATTGGGAGGTTCTCCCCTTTCTCCGCTAAATCTCTAATATTGAAACTGTTACAGTTTGCTGCAAAACAAACAACGGACCTTTTTTTTTTTTTTTGTCACTTTCCAATCTGGATTGAATAGGACTAAAAGTTCTGCGGTCTACCAACCCAAGCGAAGAATGATTCTATTCTGGAAATTTAATGCCGTCTGTTGAAAATTAGAATGAAAAACACCAATGTTATTTAGTTCCTTTATTCTCCCAATACCGGCAGCTGTTGATTCCAATTGCGTAATATCACGTAGGGAAGAATTGACAGGGCACGTATTGCGCAATAACGCTTTGCGATATTTTGCAGAGATAATTATTAATTTTGATGTTCTGTCCGAGATTTGTTTATGAACACTTAAAAGAGTTTTACTGTGCTTGCTAAGCAGAATATTTTTCAGTTACATTGGTTTATTTTTATATGATGCGCATATCGAAATGTCAAAAGCATTTATTTTTGAAAAGTGCTTATTTTTTAAACTAAAATGTGGCTATCAACCCCGTATAAACTAGAATTGCCATGGAAATGTGATTCTAAGCATTTATCTGATAATAAAAAAACTTGTTAACAGTTTTAAAAAAACAGTGTATTAATCTAATATATATATATATATATATATATATATATATGCTATAGGAAATTATATATGCTTAGGCGAGATAAAATGCAATTTGTCAATTGGCCAACTCGAATGGGAAATACAGAACCGTCTTCCTCCCTTTAATGAAACAGGAATACCTGTTAGACAAAGGTTTTATCGCGAAAATTTAACCCAAATAAGTGAAACTACTAGGAATTTTGGAAATAAATCTTAAGGGGGAAAAAAGGAGCTTTGAAATTTATCACAATTTTTATTTTCTTAAAATGATCTTAAGATATACATACATCAAAGCTCATCAGTGGACAGACAAAACACTGCTTTCAAACACTCAACAATTGACAAGAAGAAAAATTTTAAACCTACATAAAATAATTTAATGGCTTAATAAGAAAAATAGGTAAGACAAATACAGATAAAAATAATACAATTTATTTCATCGTAAATTTGTTTACTACAAAAGGCTATAAAGTAATTAACTACCAAATAAGTAAGTTAAAGTAGCTGAATATATACACCTTGTATTTATTAGGAATATTTTAATTTTATAACAATCATTTTAAGAGCTGCCACATCATACATATGCAAGTGGGATGAAATCAAAAATCATATGAAATTAAAGTATTACATGTAAAATTACATTAGTTTCACCTGAAACAGATTAAAAAAATTTATACTTCATAAGACCAGACAAGTAGAAAGTTTAAGGAGGATTTATATAGAATATACTAAAAATGTTTCTATTAAACTATAGAAGAAATGAGGTGAATGCTTTCTTTGTATTAAAATATGTTTGATAATCTGAAAATATATTCTACTTATTCACATTAAAATACAGAATTCTGTTGTATGAAGAAGTAACTTCAATCGTACCACACTAAGATAATATAGGTCTTTCGTGCTATTATGTAATGAATCAAGGTGAAGTTATACAAAAATTTATAACTTTTTTTTTGTGTTGCATTCAAAAGTACGATTCGTTTTCTTGTAAATCTGAATAAAGCATTTATTTTTGTTTTAGTAAAACTTCAAAAGCACAATCAATGTTACTGATAAATCATCATAAACTTAGTTTATGGAAATTTTTAACATTTCGCTCAGTATTTTTACATTTCAGTACAGGTAAGAATTTTTGAAATAACTTTTTTCTTAATCACTTAAATGCTTTTCATGGAGTGATTTCAGTTATGTGATTATTACAGATTTTTAAAAATTATCTCCTTTGGATGATTGATAGCTTAAAATTATTTTATTCAGGATAGCATTATTTTATATTTTTTTAGAAGTTTTAAATATAAAGCTGCTTCTTTTCAGTTATTTCTAATACAAAATTTTGAATTTCTTAATAAACACATTTGTAAAAGTATGAAAGAATTCTATTTTATAGTAATATATTATTTACTCACTGACTGTTCCACGATGAAATGCAAATGCTCTGGCAAATCAAAATTTAAAATTAATATATATATCTGAATACTGTGAATTATTTTAATAATATATTTACTGAATGGGACAGTTTTATACATTTACCCACTCTTAAATAAGATGCAAAATAGCAAAAGCATAATGCATTAATTCAGTCCTTAACGAGAGTTTTTATGAAAGTTAGTATGAAGTCACAACAGTAGTCTTGTTTTTGGTGAGAAGATCCAAGGTAAAATGTAGTGTGCTGTACCTCCATTTAATCTCTTGCAAATAATCTTCATTTCCTCATCTGAAATTCCTTTAAAAAGTGTCATATTGTCATGGATTCCGACCTAGAAATATGCAATAATTGTCATCAGTTAAATTTAAACTCTTGAAAACTATTGAAGAAGATTAATAAAGGCCATGCAGAAAAACTACGGATTGCTAATGAATGCATGAAATTTGCCAATCAAATAACTTAACTGCCAATATGAAGAAGGGAGAACAAGTGCAAATAATTAACAAATGAATTTGTTTTTCATAAAACGTTTTTAACTTTGATATGTGAGAGTTTTATTACAATAAAGAAAGTACATTAAAGAAAGCTGATTCTGTTCTCCAAGAAGTGCAATTCTGACCTTGTTCCCCTTTTCAAATTGCCATTTTAATTAGTTTTGTTGTTTTCATCATATTTATCAGATATGTTAGCTTTTTATTATAACTATACACAAGGCTGGAAATAAATATGTATATTATTCAACAATATAAGAAATGCTTAACAGCAGAATAATTTCAAAATAAGTAATACAGTACAAAATCTGAAAGTATAATATTTAGACTCAGCAGCCCCCTCCCCCTAATTACATTGACTAATGTTAGACACTGTCACACTGTCTTTGAGTAGTTGGGAAGTATTTTTATATCTGATTTAAACAATAAGTGAAGCCATAAAACATATTTGATTGGAGGGAGATGCTGCTCATACTGGTTTTCTTTTGTTGGCATAGCAGGGAGGAAAGGAGGGGGGGGGAGATTCCAAGAAACTTTAGTTAACATAGCAAATTGCACTCTTCTTTAACTTAGACTTGATCCAGCTTATTATTTTTTGCAATCTATTATTATTACAGCTATTTCATCAAAATTAAAGTTTGAATTTTTGATCCTATTGAGAAAAGTTTCTAATTCCAGACTTGCTTTGATGTCCATCAAGGGGGGGAAAAATGTATAAAGGCGTGTCTGTTTCAAAATTACACAAGGAGAATGGCACTGAAAAGACAGCAGAAAATGAAACTTTTTGTGGATTTTGGCTCCATACTTGCAATACATAATTAAAAAAAAAGTGACAATCATGACAGTGATGACAGTGACAGCAGATTGAATGAGCGAGAGCATACCATTGATGCATCTGATGGTAATGGCTCAAGAAAAAAATATTTCATGATATTTCACAGGTTCATTAACTAAATTTAATAATTACGGGACTAAAAATTTAAGGGGAAAATGCTTCAGCTGAACTCATTAATAATGTTATAATGATGAAAACTGTTTTTTCTAGCCATATGTACCTTGAAATACCTTGGAAACCTCTGCAGAAAAGGTTCCAACTCTTGTGAGTTTACAAATCGAGATTTAACATTTTGATATGTGCAAATGCTGGGTAACTTTTTGTAACTAGGGCTGGGAGGGGAAGAACAACCTTGGGTAATTAAAAGGAACAAATATTTTTCTCACAGTTTATGGTTCAAATAAAATACCATAGCTGACATAAATATTAATAAAAATAATGACTAGTTTATTGAAAATCATTTCACATTCGAGGCCCTGTGGGATTTGAAATCAGCTAGTTGACTGGAAGATATAAAAATTGCCCTGATTATAAAGTTTTAATATAAGATCTCTGTCTTATTCTTTCCAAGTTGTACATCCATCACTTAACCAATAGATACTGGAATGCTGTATCAAGACCATTCAAGAAAACTTTGAAATATTTAAAGTAAAATCTGCAGTATGAAGAATTGCAAAGTCATAGGAAGACACAACTGCAGATATTTTGAAAAATGCTTGCCATAATTTATGGCCAGCTATCACATTTCATGGTAGTGATGATGATACCAGTGAATTTTTAGAGGTTTTTGAGTATCATAAGCAAAGGGCAAAAAAATTTTTTTTTTTTTATAAATGGAATTTGTGGATCAGTAATAATACATGAAAATGATATAACAGAAGTTTTTAATTGCAATGACAATGCCTCACCCATCTTACGGATGGCAAAGTCAGAAATAAGATGTTAAATTCAGAATATACAATACAATTGAAAGATTTGAATACTGGAAGATTGTAATTGGACTGTAAATATGCCTATTTATATAAAATTAAAATATCAGTACAAAACAACGCATGTTGAAAGAAATTTTTAATGACAAACAAAAAGAGACTTAAAAAAGATTTTTTTTTTTTTTTTGTATTCTCTTCAGGGTCAGAAATGGTTCACAATTCTAATTTATTTTTACATGTCATGTTTAATAACAAACAAAAGCTGAGCCCCTCCTTTTTTGTAAATTTTGATTCCCTCAAGGTCATAATTTCATAGTTTTCATTTTATGATTTCTACATGTAATTTTATTAGGTTTAAACTGATGATCTAAAATCTGGAAGTATCAGAAATCACTGAAATCCCAATGATACCCAATCACAGACTTTGTACTGTATCTGCAATTTTGACTATTAAAAAATATTCATAAAATTATCTTTTTTTCTAGGAACAAATTATGAAAGCAACAAATCACAGCAGTAACTAGCAGACAAAACAATAAAAGGAAAAGATGGCAGCATTAAACTATACAACCACAGTGCTTGGAATGTCTGCTGGCCTACTACAGGGCATGAGACAGAAATAACAATCATACTTTGCTAGTATCGATTACCACTAAATGATTGACTCATGGCTTGTCTTGCAGCTCCTGCAACAGCACCGGCTGCAGCATTCTGAACATGTGGATTACGAAGAACTCCGCTTGTAAATTCTTCCTGAGCCTTGGCAAAACTGTGCTCTGTACCACGGTAAATCCGATGAATCTTGAGAAAGAAAAACGTAGTTATAACATACATATTTTAGAATTGTGTTATTCTTAATCAATGCATATTATTCAACAAAATTAAATAGCATTACATTATCATGTTAAATTATTTTTGGCAAATTCAACACAGAAATTACTGTATTAATTATACACTTAATTTTTATACTGGCTTTTAAATACATACTTAAAACTAGTTTATATCATCTTCCATTTTTAAGATGATATTATAACAAGAAAAATACTACATGGCATGATATTTAATCCTCTGAGCATATGACCGGCTTTATCTGGTCATCAGAAGTTTTGCTACTTGGCATATATTAGCTTATAAGTTAAGATATTTTGCTTTCTTACTTCCTTTAATAATGTAAATATCATGTAAGTTTATGAAAATACAATCTAAAATAAGTAATTATACACACTCAATTAATAAATGCTGTTTAAATACCGATCTTCATGATGGATCTAAAATCCTGAGCCGCTCAGAGGGTTAATTAATGATTGTTGTACTACTTGAAATTTTTTGCTCTCAAAACTATTGTATAAAAAGCCAAAATCTTGCATTTACCAAACTATTCTATTACCCCAAGAGCTAAAATTATTTTATAATTTTTGTTTTGAAACTACACATGAAAGAACAGCAGTATTCAAGATATCTCCCCTTCCCCTTGCACAGTAAACACATATTAACTCTCTCAACGCTGGCCTTTTGGATCTGCCAATGAAAGCTACATTTAAAGAGCATTATTAGTTAGATTGTTATAATTACTTATTCCTCCCTCCATCACCTTTATTTAGACTACTACTGAGATTGTTAATATATACACACTGACAGAAAATCTCACAATTATATAAAAATAGTCATACCTATCAAAAGATTTACTATAATGTAAGTAATGAGACTTCATTTTTTGTTCACAGTATTTAAAACAAAAATTACATTTAAAAATAATTTATTTTTTGATTTGCCTTAATGCACAGCACATTCCCATTTAAACTTAAATACAATGACAAAATTAGTTTTCATTTATGCAGGCCTTAAGCATGAAAATTGCCACCCATACAAAAAATTCACAGCTGAAACAGAAAATGCCTATTTCTGTTTAATTAAAATTTAAACTTGTAAAAAGGATTATCTGTATTCTTGTGTGCACTACAGAAGTGCACACTTCTGTAGCCTAAGGCCTATCTTTCTATATATATACATTTACACATTAAATAAATTTGATATCTTAAAAGCATAATGATATTCTTACATTATGGGAAAATAAAAAGTAAATTAACAGCAAACTTAATTTTACCTAGAAAGAACTGATTTAGATACCTAGAATTACAAATACTGGAATTCTCATGTGTATGTATAGACTCAGTACTTAACCACTTGCCTGTCTTACCCGTGCACCATATTCTTTCAGGCCTTTACAGGTTTGCCCATATGCTGTATGGACATCTAATTTCTCGGTTGCTTTTACTATTTTGCTTAGATCTTTTCTGTTTTTAATATCAAATTAGTCATATAAATAACAGTAGATGTCCTCTAAGTCTATTTTGTTTGTTTATTCTATTTCTTAGTCCTCTAAGACCAGTTAGTTAAAAAGTGCTTGACTTTGCATGACTGGGTGAATTTCTGCCTTTCAATGGTAAGCTTTTTGTATGTATTTAACTGTTGATTTGATAACTTTATTGATGTACAAGAAGTTAAAAAGGTTTTCTTAATAATATTTGCTGATTTAGAATGCAGCTAATTTCTTGCGATTCAGACTGTGATTATGAAATGTCTGTAAATGAATCTGGGAATAGTGAAAATTTTTAAATGATTTCAATATAAAGTCAAAAGTCTTTAATTCGGACTTTTCGGGACTTTGGTGATTCCAGATTATCGGTTTTCCTGGATTATAGATCATCAATTTAAATCTGATAAAATGGCATGCAGAAATTATAAAATTAAAAATATGAAACCGTAATTTATGAAATAAAGAGTTATGATCTAAAGGGTATATATATGGAAAAAAAGAGCTTAATATTTAATAGCTTACTTTATTAAACATTTCTTTCAATGCGCGCATGCATACGTTACGCATAGTGGAGATTAGAAAATTGCAACCAGAAACTATTTGATGTGCATTCGTGATATTTATAATGACGAGGAATTTGGTTTAAATCATATCAAAGACGGAGTACATTGAGATGAAACACTACATTTAGTAAGGAATTATAAGCCGAATAAAATAAAAACATCTGCCCTGAAGATAAGGATAGTGCTGACAGATCAACTTCCAGTTCATTGCGTGCCGCGACATCCCCCCCGCAGAGCAACATGAAATTGATAAACTTCACGCTTTGTAGATCCTTTGGCAGCTCCAGAAGCGTAAATTCTTTTTGACATAATCAAAAGTTCAAGCTTTACTTTTTATAAAATTGTTTCTAACAGCTGCAAAAATAATAAGCCGGATCTAATTAGAAGATTAAGGAACAATGCAATCTGCAACATTAACTGAAATAGATAATTAGATAATTTTAGCTTAGCTTATACCGTCCGTTATAAATGAAATGCGCATGCATAAAGGTATTATGCGCAGAAAGTTTGTAGCTTTGAGATCCGGATTATGGACGTCCGGATTAAAGACTTTTGACTGTATTAAAAATAAATTAAATAAACGAAAAACAAGATAATAAAAAAATTATTTGACACAAAAAACGTGGTGGTAAAAAAAATAAATTTACAGTTTTGACTGACTGAAAACATGCAAAATTAGAAGGTCTTCCTCGATGTTTACTAGCTCCACTAAAACTAGTAGAGAGTCATTTTTTAGATATGATTTTACCTATAGAAAAAGCAACAAGATCTGCAAGACAATGATAACAGTATGTTATTTGTTATTTATCAAATAACTATAACATTATTATGGAACAAAAATGACAACACCAAAAGATTTAGAAAAGAGACTCAGTACTGTGCTTCTCACTTTGTTTTGAGATTTATTATGCTAAATCTGATCTTTTGTAATTGAACGTAACTGTAAAGTAATTGTATTTGTTACATACTGTACAATCATAAATATAATTTCCCTTTTAGGTGCACACGTAGCAAAAAAAGGCTCCCATGGAAAATATTTTTATTTTATTTGAAGTATAAAAGTTGTTTTAAATGCTTAAAAATATTACAAATATAAAATGAACAAAAAGTGCAATAAAAAATTTAACATTTTGTATCATAGTAGGGGGAAAAATGAAGCAGTTAAGGGGCTAAGAAAATAAAGCAACTATCAACCTTTTTAAAATATTTTGTATACAAGGGGGGGGGAACAATTGAAACCAGAAATATGTTGCTTCTGGGTTTATATATATGTATATATATAATTCATTTAGAAGTTCTTGATAGCAGGGATACCAGAAAAAAATTCCATGTATCGTAAAAAGAAAAGGTTCTATAAAATTATATCAAGGGAGAAAACAAAGAACAAATAGCATGTTTACACATTTAACATAGCTTACATGATAATACAAATGACTTTATACAATAATATACGAAGGATGACCTTCGAGTGTTAGGATTAGGGGGTGTAGCATTGGTCAAATAATTTCCAGAAACATTATGACAGTTTATAAATGAACTTTCACATTAAAGACAACTATGAACAGTTCATAAACTTTTACAGTTTCATAATTAAAATGCGGTCAAAGTAGTTACATGTTTCTAGTTATACTTATATTAAATTCTGTGAAGGAAATTTTTTCTTATTGTTTAAATTATTAATTTAAATTGAATTTTCTCATTGTTTATCAAAATAGTTGTGGGCAAATGTTAATTATACTAATTAAAAATATCAGAACTCACTTTGAGAAGTAAAAAAAGTGATGCTCCAGCAAATACAGAATGAAGTACTGCTAAAAGTAAAGCCACAGTCCCAGCCAATTTACTTTCTCCCATTGCCTTTATTCCAACAATAAAGCCACTGAGGATTTAAATAATAATAATAATAATAATAATAATAATAATTAAAAAAAAAGCAAATTAAGATAAAAGACAAATTTACAAAAAACTTTGTTTAATAAACAAAGTATGAAAATCATCATTCAAAACATAGACCTTTTTTTAAAACATGGAACAAATATTTAAAAAAATATTTGAAATCTTATGAACATAACTGCCTAAAAATATTATATTTTTATTTTTTTTTAATCTATTTACTAAAATTTAAAATTAGTAGCAAAACACACAGAATGAATGTACAGTTGACACCTAAAGTATTTTACGCTAAAAACAATGTTAAAATTATTTTATAATCCGTTTATTAATGTAAGGAAACTTCTCCCTTTATTCCTCAAAACTTAATGGACACAAAGTATTTATACTTTGTAGTTTCCATATAATAATTTTTCTTTTCATAATTTCATAAAATGGAAATGAATGCTTTAGCAATCTATTTTCACAACAGAAGGCACATCTGAATTTCCAGAAAACAACACCAAAAGGAAGCAGTTATGATACTCATCTTTTGTTTTCAGATGAGTATCATAACTGCCTTCCTTTTTCTTGGCACCATCTAATTTACAAGTCTATAAACATACATTTTAAGTTTTATTACAATTTAACTTAGCTCCCGTTTCATGGAAAAATATTTTCACACATCCTGTTAAAAAAATAAGCAACAAAAGCAAAACACAGACTAAAACAAAAACCATTTAATGAATATATGTGAAATTAATCCAAGAGGTTAATGTGGCATTACGAGACCAAATAGCAAACAATAAAGGAACGCTATACAAAAACACATGTATTGTGACCATGACACCCAAAAGACCAAATGGGTTGGAAGAATGTGCAATGGAAACATTACACTAATAGGTATGATACCTTCTAGCTGAAATGCATGCTTGACAATGGCAAGGCAAGCTAGCAATAGTGTCGTTGATAGTTTGTTATGGCAGCAGTGCCCATTTCTATAGTAATGCATGTTGGAGCTCGTGGTGCCTGGCAGAACACTGAGACCTGCGATTCGTTATCCAAAGATGCGCAACACAAGCTTTATGGATTCAGGTCCAGTGAACTAGCAGGTCACGGAAGGATATGGTATTGTTTCACTCTCCAGATAACTCTGCACAATTGGAGCTCTATGCAGGCGGGCATTATCATCCATAAATATTGCATCAGTATGTTGCTATCCCAGCAAGCTTCCTCCTCTGTAATAGTCTCTTTTGACAAGTTTGGCACCCAGTAGCATGTCCCTAGCTCTCTCCATATCATAGCCCTTCAGGAATCATTCTGGATGTTAAACTGAGACTTATCCATAGAAAGTACACGGCGCCACTGCTTTGTTGTCAACTGCAATGTTCATGGGCCAAATTCAAGCATGCTATGACATTTGATGGGGACAAAGGAACACAAACCAAAGGTCAGCATACAGTTCACCTTCATGAAGTTGATGTGGCACAATCTGGCAGGATATGAGCTGGCCTATAGCAGCAAAGAAATGCAACGGCAGTTATCGTGATCTTGCACGCACAACAGGAAGCGATTGTCTACCATTGCGGTAATCCTTTGGTGTCCAGACCCAGTGGCGTAGCGAGGCGGGGCAAGGGGGTGTATGATGCTCCGGGAGCCAAATGGTCTCCAAACAAGATTTTCCGGAAAATTTCAGTTTTTATTTTGATCGACTTCAGGAAAATATATTTTAAATTAATAATTATTGTAATATAATTAATTATACTTATTTCTTGATTTGTCTGATAAAATGTTTTGCAGTACATCAACCAATATCTCTGCATACAAAAGGTTTCTTTCTGACCACTTTAATTTTCTCTAGAGATAGAGATATATTTTTTATTTTTTTTAATACGAAATGCAGATATAGATCCCGCTTTTTATTTTAAAACTATAGCACGACCTTTACCCGAATTTTTCAAACATATCCAGTTTCCCAAAACTGATTCCATAGTCTGGAAATGACATTTTGGGAACTTTCGCTACAATGGATTGCGTTTGACTCTCCTGACGCCTGATGGCCTTTCTGGCTACCGATTAAACTAAGTCATCAGGCTGAGACATCGTATATTCACTGCTTCAAAGCATTCAACGCGTGTCAGTTGTTTTTAATCTCCTACAACAAAAGGAATGCTGCAGGTCGCTGCTTATCTAAAACGTATAGTTTTCTACATCACAGACTAAATTTGCATATTCCTAACTTGTTAAACGTTATAATTTTCCTTTATAATCTCTTCTATTTTCCTTTTTGTTAAAAAAGGTTGTCGATTATATGGTTATTTTCATACGAACTCACAATATCCCCTAATGGAATAACCTAAGAGGTAGTGCGTCATTGTGAATCGAAAAGTGTTGTAAAGTCAGAGATTGATCAAGAAAATAAATATCAATACTCTGTCAGGTAAGTTCCTCATAGTTTGCAATGCATAAAGTATATGATTGGCTTTGATAACGATGATAAATGTGGACGATTGCTTCAATTTTTGGCGATTTCCAAATGAGTGGCTAGTGAGATCAGGCATTCAGGAACATGGATGTCTACGCAAAAAGTTTTCATAGCCAGTCAGAGGGGGGTGCTGCCATCTTTCATAGAAAAGTGTAACTCGGGGAGATTTCGACAGCCGAGTCACGACTGTCGAGCGTGTGACTGAACGACCTTAACTATATTATTTTCTTATTACGAATATATTCTATACATTATATTATCGTAAGTGTTTATGCTCACTACACCACTGTCCAGATCCACGTTTTATACAGGGCTTTTGATCTCTTTGGTGACAATTCCACAGCCTATAGATGCACTTGCAGCTCTCTCGCAAGTTCAAATAATACATTCTTTGAGGACTTTGGAGATAAGTATCTTATAGTATGTTCAATTCTGTCTAGTGTTGAAAATACATCTCATGTACCAGAGGTAAAAGAAAAAAAAAAAAAATTCTAATCATTCAGAGATAATTAAAATGGAGGTGAAGATTCTGAGGCTCTTAAAAGTATTTATAAAGATATTTTTAATATCTGAATATTTTTTTTTTGTTTTTTGTTTTTGTTTTGTTTTGTTGTAACAGAGTAGCAAAGTTTGTTAACAATTCAAAACATTTAATTTGAACTTAAAAAAAAATTTGTAGACAAACCACATTACCGATGGACATCAATTATTCTCAGTATTATTATTACTATCATTATTGTTACTATTTTGATTTAAATGTTAGGTAGAGTATTTATGCTTAAAATATATGGAATTATTAACCTGTTTTATGTTTATGTACCATAAAATAAAAATAAAAATGAATTCATATATGGATAAAATTAACCATAGTATATACTGTTTACTCTAATAATTTAAGAATACTTGCTTTTGCTAACAGTGCGCAGAACTAAGTATCTGCTTACAGCAATGAAGTAGAACATGTTCCTTAACGTTCATATACATCATATTTAGTATAATGTTGTAAAAACCTTAAATATCACAAGTTCCATATATAGCCTCTCCTGTTATATTGAAAATATTTTCAACAACCAGATAAAAGTCACATAGGAAAAAAAAAAAAAAAAAAAAAAAAACTTAACATATACAGGGCATTATTTTACAGAAGGTTCTCAGAAAGTCCACATATTTGAAATCTGTTTGCAGAAAAAAGATGCCAGGTATCAGAAAAGAAAGAAACATTCATCTGCTATTAAACTATTAATATGATTCTGATTGTAAAATATATTTGTCTTTTAATAGATATCCTAAATTTTATGTTTTTTGACTAATTTTAATTTGTAATACACTTTTTATACTGAGAAAATCCAACTAGCAAAGCACTTGTGAATAAAATTAATAATCAACATACACAGTATTTGAGTGGATAAACTTTATAATGAACCAAACTGAAGTAAAACAAAATTAATTAAATATAAATATTAACTGATTAAACATGCTTGATTCTTCATATAAAGTTCTACAAATGTCCACAGCGATTAAGATATTTCAGAACAAATGAAATTTTAATAAGAAAAATATGATAAAAAATAATGCAATTCATCTGAAATAAAATTTAATAGGAAAAGTTATTTTGAAATTCACTTGGGGTGAGATAATGTAATTTTGTACAATTTAATTTTCACTAATTTCATTTAGTAGAGAATATTTTGCCTCGTATTCTTTAGAAAAAGGAAAAATTAAAAACTGGGAGATTCAATGATCTAACTGGAGACCAAGACATGCTGCGAATAACCAGAAGAGTTGCTACATATGGTTTACTAACTTTTTAAGTATATTATTAATTGTGAAAATGGCTTTTTTTCCCCTTCTTGCAGCTTGCATTATAGTACACTGATTTGGCACACTTGAAGTACTGAATTTCACATGCTTGCAGCACATAAGTTCTGATGACAATTTATGCTTCATAAATTATATGGAAGCAATCATATCTTATAAGCATTTACCTGACCAATTACAAAGCAAGTTTATTACTTCAGCTTTTTTTATCAATATATAAATCATGATTGATTAAACTTCCCCAGTAAAACCTGTATATTAGAATTCATTAATTTACCAAGAGCCACTATTAAATACAAGTTTAAATACAGTAAAACAGTTTTTAAATTGAAAGAAATGTTTTAAGCAATTTAGCTATGCTATTATATTGACAGTAAAGTGAGTACTTTCTTCTTCATTTTTTTTGTTATGATTAGAATTGTCAACTGATTTTAATAGCAGCAAACTGAACCAAGGGGGGGGGTACATAGCCCTCTTTACAATATTTTAAAACACTGATAATAACAATGATTTTTAAAAATACAATTAATGTTTTTATTTTTCTTCTTAAAAAAAAAAAAGTGTGGAACACTGCATTTTGCTCTTGCACTTCTTGCCACAATAAAATTTCTGGCCATAACAACACAACACAAAATGAAATTACTGATTAAAAACAGCATGGTGTGGCATGGTTGTTTCAAATTGAAATGTTATTTGAAGTTTAAAAC